TAGAACCATTGTACCCTTCGGCCATTAGAGCTGTTTTGGCCAAAGAGCCCTTAATGCATTTTGTTTTCCTCTTGTTTGGATATTACTTTCTTTTCTATTGTGTGCCTCTGCGTTTGGTTTCATTAGCATTTTGCTCTTAGTTCTTTAGATAACCGAATCGAGTTGCACATGGCGTGAGTTGCAAAGGCGCTTATCGGTGACCTCCATATTCTGTTAGACTTAAGAGAAATGTATTTTCATCCTTTGCCGAGCAAAAGTGCTTGGGAGGGAATGAATTTTCAACCTTGACCGACCGAGATTTCTCGGGAGGGAATTTATTTTTCAACCTTGGCCAAGCGAGATTGCTCGGGAGGGAATTTATTTTTCAACCTTGGCCGAGCGAGATTGCTCAGGAGGGAATGGAACTTTCAACCTTGGCCGAGCGAGAGTGCTCGGGAGGGAATGCGGTTTTCAACCTTGACCGAGAATATATCTCGGGGGGAATCGTTACTTTGTCCTTGGCCGAACGAGGTAGTTCGGGAGGGAATTGTTTGTCCATCCTTGGCCGAGCTAGAGTGCTCGGGAGGGAATGGAGTTTTCAACCTTGGCCGAGCTAAAGTGCTCGGGAGGGAATGGAACTTTCAACCTTGGCCGAGCGAGAGTGCTCGGAAGGGAATGCGGTTTTCAACCTTGGCCAAGCTCGAGTGCTCTGAAGGGAACGTGATTTTCAACCTTGGCCGAGCTAGAGTGCTCGGGAGGGAATGTGGTTTTCAACCTTGGCTAAGCTAGAGTGCTCGGGAGGGAATGTGGTTTTCAACCTTGGCTAAGCTAGAGTGCTCGGGAGGGAATGTGGTTTTCAACCTTGGCTAAGCTAGAGTGCTCGGGAGGGAATGTGGTTTTCAACCTTGGCCGAGCTAGAGTGCTCGGGAGGGATTTGTTTATTGTGACTTGTATAAATTGAGCAGACAAGAAATTCTGAGTTTGTTTCATTAATGTGGAGCCTCGTTAAAAACTTTCATCAAAAAAAACCTCTTCACATTTTTATAAGAGGGAAAAACCTGAGAAAGGAAAAGAGTGCTCCGAAACGAGTTACATAAGAATGACTAGCTAAAGTAATGCTTTAGGTGTGTCGCATTCCAAGTGCGGGGTATAACCTTCCCATTGAGCTCTTCTAGTTTGTAAGCTCCGTTTTGCAAGTCATGCCTTATACGATATGGTCCATCCCAATTGGGTGCTAACTTCCCTTGAATCTTGTCCTTACGAGCTTCCCCTGTAACTCACCATACTAGGTCCCCTACTTGGAACTGTCGAGGCTTCACCTATGTTCTGATTTTCCTAACTGCCCTGGTTCGACATGCTTCCATATTGACGAGAGCGTATTCGCGTGTTTCATCCACTAGGTCGAGTTCTATGTTGAGAGCTTCATTATTGGTATCCTCATTGAATTGTTGTTGCCAAAGTGAAGGTTCCCCAACTTCTACCGGAATCATGGCGTCGGTGTCGTAAGTTAGCCGAAATGGAGTTTCCTTGGTAGAACTTTGTGGAGTACAACGGTACGCCCATAGAATCTCTGGTAGATGATCCGGCCATGAGCCCTTGGCTTGCCCGAGTCGTTGCTTCAATTCTTTGAGGATAACTTTGTTTGCAGCTTCGGCCTGTCCATTGGACTAGGGGTGCTCAACCGAAGTCATTTTGTGCTTGATGCCCAACTCTGAAAGGAAGTCATTGAAGCGCCGATCGGTGAACTGTAGACCATTGTCGATGATCAATGCGTATGGGATCCCAAAGCGTGTGATCACGTTCTTCCAAAAGAACTTCTGGACGTTGTTGGCCGTTATTGTGGCCACGGCTTCTGCCTCAATCCATTTGGTGAAGTGGTGCACTGCTACGATAAGAAACTTCACTTGTCCTTTGGCTGGTGGGAAGGGTCCCAGTATGTCCATGCCCCAAAGGGAAAAAGGCCATGGGGTGGTGATAAAATGCAACTCTTCTGGAGGTTAATGTGTTAATGGGCCGAATTGTTGGCATGGTTGGCACCGCTGAACAAATTCAGTGCAATCCGTGGCTAAGGTTGGCCAATAATACCCTGCGCGAATTACTTTGGCCGCGAGGGTTCGGCTTCCCGAGTGAGTTTTGCATACACCTTCGTGGATTTCTCGGAGGACGTAATGTGCTTGTTCGGGAGTGAGGCATTTCAGCAATGGCGTCGACAGGCCTCGCTTATACAATTCCCCAGCAATCAAGGTATATCGTGCTGCCTTAACTCTTAATTTTTTTAGCTTCAAGAGGATCCTCAGGTAATTCCCCCGTCAGAAGGTGATGTACTATGGTATCCATCCAATAGTGGTTTCCTTGTTCTACCTGTAAACACTCAACTTCCCTAACGCTTGGGCTCGGTAGCTCTTGTTGTATCATACTTCGCAGATGGCTGGTTTTCTTGGTACTGGCTAGTTTGGCCAGCTGGTCAGCTCTCATATTATGTTCCCGGGGAGTGTATGTGACTTGGACGTCCTCAAAGTCGTTTTTGAGTTTTTGGAAGGCATGGAAGTACAACACCAACGTCGGCTCTTTAACCTGGAAAGTGTCGTTGACCTGTCCTGTCACTACTTGTGAGTCACTGAAGCATCGAATTGTTGTGATGCCCAAATCGTTTGCCAATCTTAACCCTGCCAGAAGGGCCTCGTATTCGTCTTGGTTGTTAGATGCTTTGAAGTCGAACCGTAGTGACTGTTCAATTATGACTTTGTCTGGGCCTTCCAAGATGATGCCGGCGCCACTGCCTTGCTGGTTTGATTATCCGTCAACATGTAGGGTCCAAGTGTGGGATAAGGGAAGCACCCACGATGTGAACTCATTCACGAAATCGGCCATGCTTTGTGCCTTGATGGGCCCTCTTGGTTGGAAACGAATATCGAATTGTGACAATTCAATGGACCAAGCCACCATCCTTCCGGCCAATTCGGGTTTCCGTAGGACTTTGACAATGGGACTATCCATTCGGACAAGTACCTTGTGGCTCTGGAAGTAGTGTCGGAGACGCTTGGCCGTGTGGACGAGGGCAAGAACAGTCTTTTCGAGATGTTGATATCTCGTTTCGGCCTCCTACAAGGCCCGACTGATGAAGTATACTGGCATCTGCTCTGTCTTCTCTTGCACTAGTACAACGCTGATAGATTTATCTGAGACCGAAAGGTATATTATCATGTCCCTCTGAGTGTCCGGTTTGGCTAGCAACGGTGGGGCTGCTAGTATTGCCTTGAAGTTTTGGAAAGCTGACTCACATTCGTCAGTCCACTTAAACTTAGTGGCCTTCTTCAACAAGGACATAATGGGCCTAGATTTGTCCGCCATGCAGGGAAAGAATCGCGCCAGGGAGGCAATGCATCCTGCCAAGCGCTGCACCTCCTTTACATTAAGAGGGCTTCTCATGTTGATGATGGCTTGACACTTGTCGGGATTGGCTTCTATGCCTCTTTCTAACAGCATGAAGCCTAGAAATTTTCCACCGGCTACCCCGAACGTGCACTTAGCCGGGTTTAGTTGCATGTGATGCCGCCTTATTTCGTCAAAAATTGTTTGAAGGTCTTTCAGATGATCGGTGGCGGAGTTGGACTTAATCACCATATCGTCCACGTAGACTTGCAAACATGTCCCAATTTGCCAATGAAAAATCTTGTCCATGAGGTGCTGGTAGGTCGCCCCTGCATTTTTCAGGCCGAAAGGCATTACCTTGTAACAAAAATTGGCTGAATTAGTGATGAATGCGGTTTTGGCTTCGTCCGGGGGATACATTGGTATCTGATTATACCCCGAATAGACGTCTAGGAAACTCAATCTCTGATGGCCGGCTGCTCCATCGACCAATGCGTCGATATGAGGCAGAGGGTAAGCATCTTTCGGGCATGCTTTGTTCAGATCCATGTAATCTGTGCACATTCGCCACTTCCCATTAGACTTCTTAACCATTACCACGTTGGCCAACCACGTGGAGTACTTGACTTCCCTTATGAATCCGGCTTGAAGCAATTTGGTAGTCTCTTTCTTTATTGCTTGGGATCTTTCTCCTCCCATTTTCCTCTTTTTCTGGGCGATTGGCTTGGCATCTCGGCAAACCGAGAGTCGATGACAATGGAAGCTAGGGTCGATGCCTGACATATCTGCTGCTGTCCAGGCGAATAAGTCTGAGTACCTCAACAAGACTCGTTTAATGTCCTCTGCTTCATCATTCGTCAATTGGGCACTTAGGTATGTGACTTGTTCCTCCATATTTCCAAGCTGGAACGGGATTGTCGTTTCTGTCGGCTCGACCCTATGTTCGTCCTTGATTCTGGGATCAAGCTCTAAGCCTTCCATCTTGGATGGACCAATATCTCTGATGACGTTGACATCTTGGCATCGGGTCATCTTCGGAGTGGGTTGTACCTTCAGGCTGACAAGGTAACATTCGCGGGCTGTCTTCTGATCGGCGTGTAATGTGATGATTTTGCCTTCTTCGGACGGAAATTTCATTGCCAAGTGGCGGGTTGAGACGATGGCCCTCAGCCTATTCAAGGAGGGTCGACCTAAGAGGATATTGTACGAAGTGTTGGGATTCACCACAACGTACCGTACTTTGATTCTTCGTCTTTGCCGGTCGTCTCTGAAATAAGTGTACAGGTCAATTGTTCCCCGAGTGTCGACACGTTCACCTGAGAATCCCACCAAAGGCTCATCGTAAGGTGTCAATTCCTGTTTAGGGATGCCGAGCTGCTCGAAAGTTTTCCAGTAGAGGATGTCAGCCGAGCTTCCCTGATCAACGAGAGTTTTTCTTACAATACAGTTGTTGATCTCCACACTGATGACCATGGGATCATCTTGCACTGGATCGATGCCTTGAAAATCTTGGTCGGTAAACGTGATAGGGGGCATATGAATGGCAACTGCCCGATCTATGGAGTTAACCGACTTGATTGCTCTCAGGTGTCTTTCTCTGGCTGAAGACGAGCTCCCTCCTCCTGCGAAGCCCCCGGCAATGGTGTTTATCACTCGCCTGGGCTGGTTACGGTCCCGCTAATCATTTCGTTCTTGGGACCTACTGCGCTCTCGGGATCGGTTTCGTGGAGGTGCTCGGTCTCGTCTATACTCCCCTCTACCAGGGCAATAGTAACTCTTTTGTTATCTGTCGTCCTGACGAAACTTTGGAGATGGCCAGCGTTGACGAGATCTTCGATGCGATCCCGAAGAGCCGAGCATTCCTCAGTCGTATGTCCCCTATTCCAATGGAATTGACATGTTTTCGTCTTGTCGGCGCGAGGCGGGGTCATAGCTTTTCGAGGGACGGCTAGTACTTCTGTGGCTAGAGCTTGCTCTAACACCTTGGCCCTGCTGGTGTTAAGCGGCGTGTATTGCATGTATCTCGACCCCCTATTACTCTTGTCTCGGTCAGGCATGTCTTTGGGTCGTGACCTAAGTGGTTGGTTGTCACTCTCCTTTTTTGGGAGAAACAAATCGGACCGACTTTGGCTCCAAAACTCAACCAGTTCTTCCATTTGCATATATTTGGTGGCCCTCGGCCTCAAGTCATCCAGGTCTCGGGGCGGTTTCTTGCACAGGCTGTTGACAAAGGGGCCGGGTCGTAACGCTGTGGTCAGGTGATGCATTGCCACAGCCGGGTCCAGGTTGCGGATGGATAGGGTCATCTTTCCGAACCTCTCCATGAAAGTTCTTAGAGACTCTTTCTTTTCTTGGCGTATGTTGATCAAAGCGATTGACGTAAGTTGATGAGGACGGCTCGTGGCGAACTGTATCACAAAACGGGATGATAAGGTTGTGAATGAATCAACCGACCCGGGCGGAAGCCTTGTGAACCAATTAAGAGCTGGTCCCCTTAGTGAGGTGGGGAAGACTTTGCACATGATCGCTTCGTCGTCCGTGTATAGACTGATTTGGGTTACGAATGCATCGAGATGTTCCTCAGGGTCGGTGGTTCCGTCAAATTTCTCCAAGGTCATGTTTTTCCAATTGTCTGGTAGGCGCGCTCCAGCAACATCCGGGGTAAACGGGGTTCTTCCTTGTCGTCGCTGCTGATCGAGCGTAGTGGTTGTTGCTCCCGCGGGGGGCTTAAGGTCCCTTGTTTCTTTGTACCATCCTGACGATTCCCCATGATCCCTTGTTGATTGGGTATTGGGGAGATCATGAGATGGGTGCCAAGACCGGTTGTCACTCCTGAGCTCAGCGTTTTCCCTTCTCAGGACTGATAACTCGTGAGCATCTCTCTCTCGCAGCCTCCTAAGTTCCATCATTTCAGCCTTCAACTGCTCAATGGCCGAGGACGGATCGGGAGGTGGAGACCGAGCTGTGTGCAGTTCTTCCTCCCCTTCTTCGTTGTGGTTAACTTGTCGCCTAGGATTGTCTCGGGGCATCCCATAGGGGTACTCGGTGGTTGCGTTCTCTTGCTGGCTTCTCGTAATTACCATTTTGCTTCAGGGTCGAGAACCGTTCTGGTTTCGACCCCACGGTGGGCGCCAAAATGTTCCTGCGTAGAAACACTCCTTGTTGCTCCTTCCTTACGGTCTTCTAAGTTGTCGGTGCCGACCGAATGCTATCTCCAAAAGGTGGGGAGGGTACCTGCAAAGGCACTCCGACGATCAAGTAAGTGTTTGGTTCAGAGCAATAAATACTTTATAAGGAATAGTAACATACCTCATTTATGTCACATCACCTGTGTATTTATAGTGGTATGTGTGGGCCCGGTGAGCCTTCATTCTTGGGAGATGGGTAATATGTAGTTAACCTTAATCATTTCTAATTAAGAGCTGCAATTATCGTATAACAAGTAATTATTCTCAGACCTTCACTCTTTCGTGACGTTGTCGGCCATGTACTAGGCCGAAAAGGTGCTCGGCCTCTCCCAAGGCCGAGACCTCCTCGGCCTATCTCAGGAACGAAGGGATGTTCGGCTTGTCCCAAGACCGAGGGGTATTCGGCCAGTCCCAAGACCGAGGGGTGTTCGGCCTTTCCCAAGGCCGAGGGGGTGCTCTTAGTTTTGACACCTAAGGGATACTTGTCCTTGGTGGTGGAGGTATTCTGCTTATGGGCCGGGGGGTGTTCGGCCTAGGCCAATGCCGAAGAGGTGTTCGGCCCCACTTTTAGCTGAAAGGGTGATGTGCTTGATCGGTTCAGGCCACTTATTCAGCCTATGGTCTGCCCGAAGGGGGTGCCTTCCTATGTTGTTCCATCGGTTCGGGCACCGCTCTCGGCGCTATGTCTGACCGAGGGGGTGCCTACCAGTACACTACTCCCCCAAGCCCTAGGATGAAAGACGAAGGGGTTTGATGTGTGGACGGGGTTCAGGGTTTTCTAGGGTTTTGGGGAGACGTTTTCCTCGGGAGTTGTGACGCTTGGACAGTGACCTTTGCATGCTCTAGCTGCCTTTGGGTTTTTGCCCTGGGGGCATGTCTTTTCATCTTCAGAGCATTTATGAGAGCCTTTTGGCCTGCCCGTTGGTTTTTCTATAAATTGGGCGTCGTGGTGGCTTCTTCTCTCGTGCCTTTTGATAGCAAATTCTCTGCCTCGACCCCCCTCTTCTCTGAGCCGAAACGTGTTAAGGTAGGTTGCATTCGATTTTGTTTGGTTTGATATCATGGCAGCCGAAGATATGACATTGTCACCAGAGTCGTCGGCCAGTGCAATGGTCTCGGTTCAAGATGCCGAGGCTGAGATCTTGACCTTTAATGCCGAAGCGGAATTAGTCGGGGTCTCTAGTCAATCCGAGCCTAGTGATAATGGGGGGACTAGTTCGTCGGGCTCGCAACTTCCAGACGATGAAATGAGTCCTCAGGATTATCGACAAAAGTTCCCTACGTGCGAGATTTCGGGATATGAGTGGGTAGATGGTGAGGTAGCGGCTTATTTCTCCCGATTTTATGAGAGGAGTGTCGTGGAGCGGTTGCTCGGTGCATGCACCTTCACCCGGTGGGCTGATTCGGATCCTTATCCGATAATGCTGCGCCGTTGCCGAGCCGAAGGCCCAGGAGGTGCCGACTTGGTTTTTCTTGCGAAGCGAGAAGGCCAAGGAGATTTTTTCTACATGTACGAATGCTTCTTTCGAGAGCTCGACATGTCTCTCCCTTTGGATGATTTCCAAATGGGAGTTCTTCGTGTTTTAAATGTTGCACCGACCCAGCTTCATCCGAATAGCTGGGCTTATATGCAAGCTTTTAGGGTGTTGTGTAAATATCATTATATAGAGCCGAGTGTAGGTCTTTTTCTTCATTTTTTCTGTACTCGTCCGTCAAATAAAACCACCAAGTGGCTATCTCTAGTTAGGCATACCGAACGTCCCTTGTTGAAGCCTTTTACTTCTTCTTTCAAAGGGTTCAAGTCGGGGTTTGTAAAGGTAATAATAGACCCCATTGCCGGCCGGAATTATTTCTACGATACCGAGCAAAAACCCCTTTTTCCCTTCTATTGGACCCAACAGCCTCGGAAGTATGATGATTATCTAGAGGAAATGATGACCGAGGCTGAAGTTGAGGCCTTGAGGAGCTTAAAAGAGTTGCCCCCCGGGATCCCTTCTCAGTTTTTGGTTCTTTTGCCGAAATTGCCTCGGCCCCGTTTTAACTTAGAGGGTACGTACATTTGTTTTATGCGAGGCATGCTTGTAAAGTTGATGCTTATTTATCTTGTTGCTCGCAGGTTGGATGGCGCAGCACGGCCAAGGTCTTTCATATCGGCAGTTGGTGAGGAGCAAAGCCCATGTCGGGACTTCTGCCGAAGATCATCAGAGCGTGGCGATCGATGAACAGCCGCAAGCCAGAGACGCTCCTCGACCAACCCCCCCTGTAATCAACCTTCCTGACCCCAAGAGTAGAAAGAGAAAAGACAAGGGGAAGAAGAGGGTCGAAGCCTCGGGTACAGAAGCGTCTCGGCCCAAGCAACGAAGGGTTGAAGGCTCTTCTACGGACTTGGCCATGCTTGACTCGGCCTCTCCTTCGGCTCAATGGGCGATGGCTTGCGAACTGCATGTGAGAGCCACCGCCATATT